GCTTTTATAGGTAAAGATCGCTTGGTTGTCTTTTATGCGGGGCAACCAAAGGTTTGTCACAGGTGTGGTAGCAGGGAGCACTTTGCGGCATCTTGTGTAGTGTTGAAGTGCTCCCTGTGTCAGGACATAGGTCATGTAGCTAGAGATTGTAACCTCATAAGGTGCAACCTATGTTTACGAATGGGTCACTCATATAATCAATGCCCTGAAGCACTGCACAACTTGCCTGGGATTGAGGAGGAGTTAGAGAGGATGGATTCGGAGGAGAGAGGTGCGGACCCACCTCCTAGCGATTTGGGTGTCTCTGATACCCCTATGCCAGTGACACCAGGTGTATCCCCTAATGTGTCTGTACCTCACCCGGCTGTAATATCTCCCCCTGTTTCGACATCTTCCCAGGTGCCGTCTGATCCTTGTGTGACTGTTCCCCCGGTTCGTAAAAAGCGTGGGGAGATAGCTAAAGGGACAGGAGGGTCCCAGAGGCCCTTAGTGGCAACTCCTCCAGTTTTGCTTCCACGCCCGTCCTAGGGGCTCTGTAGCCTCTGGGGGTGGTTTACAGCTGTAAGAAACAGGTTTGACATACTTTCAGGGGATGAGCTGGACTTTGGATCCCTCTCCCCCATGGAAGATGAGGAGGCTGGGGGGTCTCTCAAGAGGGCTAGGCCCCCTGCAGAAACAGAGAAGGATAAGGTTAAGAAACGTCCACCTCCGTTATCTTATGGCAGTTCCCGCTCCGTTAAACGTGGCAACCATTAATGTTGCCAGCCTAAAATCTGTAAGTGCTAGGAGTACAGCCTAATTTTTGCTCAGTGGGATGGAAGCTGACATTTTATTTTTGCAACAGACCCGGTTGTGTAGTTTGGCTGATGTCCATCTGGCTAAGAGGGAATGAAGGCGTGGTCCTTCCTTTTGGTCTCTTGCGGCTGAGCCTTACAGCGGAGTTGCGGTGCTTTTTTCCGGCATGGTAACGTGCCGGCGGATCATTGAGGTTGAGATTGGAAGGTGTTTGGTACTAGACGTCCTTGTGAGGGGGCAAGAGCTAAGGCTCATTAATATCTATGGTCCTCAGACTAAGTGGGATAGGAAATGCCTCTTCACAAAGATTAGGCCTTTCCTTTTTACGTCCCGGCAGATTGTCTTTGGAGGGGAATTTAACACCGTTACTAGGCCCAAGGACAGGAAAGGCTCCAATGACAGGCTGGGATATGAAAGCGTTTTTCTGAATAAGATAGTCAGGGAAGCAGGTCTGGAGGATGCCTTAATTAAGCGCAACCCAGACAGCACAGGCTTCACATATAGGAGAGGTAAATGTGAGAGTAGAATAGATAGGTTTTTTTTAAAGGGGGACTCTAACTTCTCGGCGCCTGTGTGTCGGGCGGTGGAGTTCTCCGATCACCTTATGTTAACTGTGGCTTTGAATGCTTCAGATACACCACTGAAGGGGAGGGGTATCTGGAGAATGAATTCGGCCCTGCTGGACAATGAGGAGGTGAGACGATCCTTTGAGGAATTATTTCAGGCTCAGGAAACTATTCTGGATTTTTGCAACAGTAAGTCGGAATGGTGGGAGCTTGCTAAAGTGCGGTTCAGCAGGTTTTTCAAGACCATAGGTAAAAAGAAACAGCTTGATAAGTATATTGCCTACCAGCAGCTGCGGAGGAGGCTTGACCACCTTGTCTCCAATGGTGGAGATCCTGGGGCCATCTCGGAGGTGAAGCTTCTTCTCAAGAAGTGCCAGTACGACCGGCTTGCTTCCCTGGTTCTGGAGAGGGATTATGGGAAGTACCATTTGCCCGACCCTTACCAGAATTGCAGGGAAAGAGCAGCAGTTAAGATGGTAACTGGCCTAAGGGACAGTACAGGATCCTTGGCAAAATCCAGGTCAGGGATCTTGGAGGTCTCAAGGTCTTTTTATAAGGAACTTTTGGGGAAGAGGCTCCTCGACCGGGCAAGGATGTTGAGCTTTCTGGATACTACACCAGGTCTGGAGGGGAACATTTTGCTTGCAAGTTTGACTGGTGAGATCACAGTAGAAGAGGTGGTCAAAGCCATAGATAGTCTGGCCATAAAAAAGACACCAGGACCAGATGGCTTGACGGCAGAGTTTAAGACCTTTAAAAATAGCTTGGCACCTCATCTCGCGGAGGTTTTCAACTGCTGTCTGGAGGAGGGATCACTCCCTCCCTCCATGAGACAATCTTCTGTGATCTTACTGTCAAAAGGTAAGGATCCTTCGATGATTGGGAATTGGCGCCCCATTAGCCTTCTCAATGTCGATAGGAAGATTCTGGCCAAGATTTTGTTCTGGCGCCTGTCGTCAGTGGCAGGCAAGTTACTCTCAGGTCAGCAGCACTGTTCGGTTCAGGGCAGGAGCACATTTACAGTGGTGTTAGCTGTCCGGGAGGTTCTGGAGCGGTGCAGAGCTGATGGTTGTGGAAAGTATCTACTAGCATTGGACCAGGCAAAGGCTTTCGATCGGGTTGATCATGAGTACCTCTGGCATCTTCTTGACAGGTATGGCTTGGAGGGGAGGTTTATTGGATGGCTTAAAACTTTATATAAAGAGGCAGAAAGCTTCATGTTGGGGAATGGTTGGGTTGGACGTCCCTTTGAGGTTGGCTCTGGGGTGCGCCAGGGGTGTCCTCTGAGTCCCTTGCTCTATGTCTTTGCTATTGACCCCTTCGTCAGAAGGCTAGATGGTGGGGCATTGGGCGGGGCGCCGGTGGGCATTTTTGGGGGGTTGCCTTGGAGGGTCGTGGCCTATGCTGATGACGTTTCTGTCTTTATCTCCGGGTCCGAAGAGGCGCAGGAGGTGGTCTCGGTGATAGAGCGGTATTCCGAGGCATCTGGCTCCAAGGTCAACCAGGATAAGAGTGAAGCTTTCTGGATGGGTAGGGAAGGTGAGTTCTTTCCACTTTCGGATGCCTTCCCGGAGCCTCAGAGAAAGATCAAAATTTTAGGCATTGAATTTGGCTCAGATGATTACAGCAAATCAAATTGGGAGGCCAAGCTGACCAATGCCGAGGTCAAAGTAAGATGCTGGAAAGGATGGCAGCTCTCCTTAAGGGAAAGGGTCGATTTGATAAAGACTTACCTGGTCCCCATCTTTTTATATGTTAGTTTTGTTTGTCTCTTGCCAGAGTCTCTCTATACGAGGGTCTACAGTTCCAGATGTTATGGGGGAGCAGACTGAACCTTGTTAAGAGGAATGTGACCTACCTATCCAGGCGGGAGGGTGGCCTAGGCATGGTCAACCCAATTGTTTTTTTTCTCTCTGATGTTCTTGAAACATAACTTTGGTAACATGCTTGCAGAGAGACCGCCTGCATGGGTGGGCCTTTTTCGGGCCTGGTTTAGTCCTTTTCTGAGCTGTTGGGAGAGTGGTGGTCCAGTGAGAAGCCTGAGGGTCAGATATGGTAAGCTCTCAACTTATGCTGCCCTGAGCCTGAAATTACTTAGGCGGTGGTGTGTGACGGCAGGGGAGGTCAGGTCTCTCTCTAGGAAAGTCCTGGGTGAGAGGATTGTGGCCACTGCCTTTCATGTGCCACTGGCCTTGAAGGATTGCCCAGGCCATGTTATGAGGGAGGGTTTGCGCTTGATTAACTTGGAACGGATACCCTCCTTGAAATTTAGGGACCAGGCCTGGCTCGCGTTTCACGGCAGACTCTATGTGAGGGGGAACTTGAAGTTCCGTTCTCTGGATGACCGTGGTTGTCTGAGGTTGGAGTGTCTGGGTGAAGTGGAGAGTATGGACCACTTCTTGCTTCAGTGCCCCTTTAACGTAGAGGTGTATAAAGAGGTGGGAAGGGCTCTGGATATCCCCTTCCTGCACTGCATGCCTTATGCAGAGTGGGTGTATGGAGCATTAGAAAGCCATGCTAGTTATGATTTTGACACTCTTTTTCTAGTCTGTCTAGTGGTCCGCTACTTCACGTGGAATGCACGGTGTCAGGTCTCCCTTCGGCAGAAAGTCCTTCAGGTCCAGGTGGTGGTGTGTGACATTCTTGGTGAGGTTGGGAAAATTCGGGGTCTTGAGAGAGACAGGTGGCGGCGAAGGGCTTGGATAAAGGTGTGGAGGAATATCAAGCCTGTAGCTGCCATCTGTTGATCGTGGGTGTTGGTATCTTTCCTGTTTTCTTTTCATCTCCTTTCACTCCCTTAGGTTTTGTTGAGGAAATACTGTTTTGTAGAAAGGCCACAAGTGCCTGAAGATCAGGTTTCTTAACCTTGTCGTAATCAGTTTATGTCCTATAGTACAAGATTTTTATTTTTTATTTTTTTTGTTAGTATAGTCACGAGAGCCTCTTTTCCTTGTTTGAATATAATGTCATATAGTTGCATAAAGTCTCTAAGTTTCTTCGCATTATAATTTTCTGGACCGTAAAGGTCAGAGGATGTTCCTTTTGGTTTCTTTTTCTTGTTGATATTGTGTTCTTCTTCTTTGAAGGAATAACTTGTTATGCTATGTTCAGTTAAAAACCAGAGAGTATGGTATGTGTATTTATTTATGTAAATTTTATTTTTGTAAGGAAATTTTGAATATTTTTTTCAGCAGCCAATACTTTGCTATCAGGATTATTTTTCTTAGCAGTGGTTTTCCACCAGTTTCTCCTTAGAATACATGAATTAGAAGGAGTCTTGAGTTTTCATCATTTGCAGCTTCTGAAGCCCCGAAGAACAGGATGCAGCCTGGCACTAAACCACATCAGACCGTTGTTTTTTTTATGATAAAACTTTTGGACTTCAGACTCTCTGGATCCTTAAAAACTGTTTTGACAGCTTACTGCACTAGTGACATAGGGTGAGTGATATGCCAGAAGAATGCAAAAGACTAACACAAGGGAAAATGGCCCCAATGCTAGTGAATCCTTCATGGATAAACTGCTCAGAAAAGTTACAATAGCTTATATTTATAATTTCCATGAAACAGAACTCCTCATGTTTTATAACCTACCTGCTAGATTTCCTAGTTGTGTTCCATATTTACAGTAACAGCCGGGAACACCGCCCACAATTCTACATTCTTCATCCAGAGCGCAGTCCACCCCTGAGCAGCTATATTGGGATTCTAGAAGACAATGAACACAAAGAATGGTTTATTAACTGAAAGAGAACATATATAAGAATTACTTATACTATATTGCCAAAAGTATTGGTACCCCCTCCAAATCATGTGATTCAGGTGTCCCAATCCCCTCCATATCATGTGATTCAGGTGTTCCAATCCCCTCCATGGACACAGGTGTATACAATCAAGCCCCTAGGCATGCAGACTGCTTCTACAAATATTGGGGAAAGAATGGGTCGCTCTCAGGAGCTCAGTGACTCCAAGCGTGGTCCCGTGATAGGTGGCCACATGTGCAATAAGTCCATCCGTGACATTTCCTGGCTACTAAATATTCCACACTCAACTGTTAGTGGGATTATAACAAAGTGGAAGCCACTGGGAACAACAGCCACTCAGCCACCAAGTGGTAGGCCACGTCACATGACAGGGCGGGGTCAGCGCATGCTGAAGCGCACAGTCAATAGCAGAGTCAATAGCTAAAGACCTCCAAACTTGGTGTGGCCTTCAGATTAGCACAACAACAATGCATAGAGAGCTTCATGGAATGGGTTTCCATGGCTGAGCAGCTGCATCCAACCTTCCATCACCAAGAGCAAGGCAAAGCGTCGGATGCCGTGGTGTAAAGCACACCACCACCGGACTCTAGAGCAGTGGAGACGTGTTATCTGGAGTGATGAATTACGCTTCTTTGTCTGGCAATGCTATGGACGTGTCAGGGTTTGGTGGTTGCCAGGAGAACGGTACTTGCCTGACTGCCTTGTGCCAAGTGTAAAGTTAGGTGGAGGGGGGAATATTGTGTGGGGCTGTGTTTCAGGGGTTGGGGTTGGGCTTAGCCCCCTAGTTCCAGTGAAGGCAACTCTTAACACTTAAGGCATCAGCATACCAAGACATTTTGGACAATGTCAGGCTCCCAACTTTGTGTGAAGAGTTTGGGGATGGTCCCTTCCTTTTCCAACATGGCTGTGCACCAGTGCACAAAGCAAGGTGCATAAAGACATGGATGAGCACGTTTTGGGTGAAGGAACTTGACTGTCCTGCACAGAGTCCTGACCTCACCTCATAGAACACCTTTGGGATGAATTTGAATGGAGACTGTGAGCCAGGCCTCCTCCCCCGACATCAGTGCCTGACCTGACAAATGTGCTTCTGGAAGAATGGTCCAACCTTCCCATAGACAGCCTCCTAAACCTTGTGGACGGCCTTCCCAGAAGAGTTGAAGCTGTTATAGCTGCAAAGGGTGGGGCCAACTCAATATTGAACCCGACGGACTTAGACTGGGATGTCACTAAAGTTCATGTGCGTGGAAAGTCCGGCCGCCCAATACTTTTGGCAGTATAGTATATATATATATACATTGCTACAAAAAATTAAAGGAACACTTTGAAGACACATCAGATCTCAATGGGGAAAAATTTCATGCTGGATATACTGTATATACTGATATGTACTGGGTAATCTGTTAGGAACGTAGGGATGCCCCATTTTTTAATGGCAATGAAAGTTGTCAACCTACAGAGGTCCGAATTCAAAGATACCCTGAAAATCAAAGTGAAAAAAAATTATGCAGCCAGCTAGTCCATTTTGCTTAAATCTTATTGCAGCAACTCAGAATGGTCCTCAGTAGTTTGTATGGCCTCCACGTGCTTGTGTGCATGCCTGACAATGTCGGGGCATGCTCCTAATGAGACCATGGATGGTGTCCTGGGGTATTTCTTCTCATATCTTGACCAGGGCATCACTGAGCTCCTGGACAGTCTGAGGTGCAACCTGGTGGCGTTGGATGGACCAAAACATGGTATCCCAGAGGTGTTCTATTGGATTTAGGTCAGGCAAGCATGGGGGCCATTCAATGGTATCAATCCTCCAGGAACTGCCTGCATACTTATGCCACATGAGGAAGGAGGAACCCAGGACCCACTGCACCAGCATAGTGTCTGACAATGGGTCCAAGGATTTCATACCCATACCTAATGGCAGTCAGGGTGCCACTGACCAGATCAATATCCTAGGAGTTTCATTCACTTGATGCTATACACTAATTAAAAGTCTTCCTTTCATTTTATTGAGCAGTGTATATATAAATATATATATAAAGATAACACACTGAATGATGCTTTGTGTCAGTACTTACCTGTACAATAGGCGAAGTTGCAGCTCGGTGGACTCTGTAGCTTATACACATAAAATCCTCCCGGACACATTTTCACAGAAATACTAAAAGGTTGTGTGCAGCATCCATCATACCAGTTGGAACACATTGTACGGTTAACAATGCCATCACTGCCTTTAGGGTGGAATCCGTTCATCCAAATGGGGAGAGTAGTCCCACAGCTGTATTGTGGTACGCAGTGCTCAGGGATTTGCTGGTCATATGTTCCTTTAAACCGATACCAGCCAGACATGCCATTGTCACAATTATACCAGTCATTATAATTATATGTATTAGAAGTACTGCGCCAGGGATCATTGAGTTCGGTGTGGTTGGAGCAAGGGTCAATACAGGAATAGGATCCATTGTACTTAACGCATTCTTCATTAGAGCCACATGGAGTTCTCCTTGTTGGCATTCATTCACCTCACAGTGTCTTCCATCTCCATCATATCCATAGGGACAAGTACAGGTGTAGTAAGGTCCATAATTATAATTTGTACATATAGCTACTGGATCACAGTAATGCAGAGATCTGTCCGCACACTCATCAATATCTACACAGCCAAATTCTTCTTTATACTCAAACCCGGTGTTACAATTACAGGTGTAAGATCCGACAGTGTTCACACAGGAACCACTACCATAATTCTGACATTTGTTGGTGTAATACTCCTGACATTCATCTATATCAGTACAAGTTGTTCCGTCTCCAGAAAATCCCTCTTTACATGTGCACTCCCCGTATCCTCCAAATTCTGAACAAGTGGCATGTGGGTGGCAGTCAGAATCAGAACAAGTTCCTAAAAAAAAAAAGAAAAAAAATGTGTTTTTTTGGGTAGGTGGATTTCTACAAAATAGAAACATACAGTGAACTAATGTACAGACAAACATTTTCTAATAGGTTGGGTGCTGTGAAAGACTTTTTCAGTCACGTACAATGAAAGAAGCTGCCCCCACCAGACACAGCTATATTCTACCTCTTGCCGCTCCACCTGACCTCCCCTCTGGCCCATCTGCCTTGTGACGTGCTGAACACATTAGACCCCCTGAGGCTGTCACAGAGGTCTCTGACAACAGATCTAGTGTGTTGCATATCTCTGGGGTTTAACAGATGACGGTATCTCAGCACCAGATAAGAAGAGTAATAGGTGGACGTAGGGTCAGAATGAGGGTCAGTGAGGGAGAAAATAGAAGTCGGGTCCCTCAATGTTTTAGGAAGATGTATTATTTTCAAGCAGATTCATTCTAAAACATTCCACAATCAACTGCTTTAAAATAGCACAGCAACAAGTAGGCAACCTAATGTACAGTATATGGTTATGCAAGAACCTTATAAGCTTCTGGGGGGAAATCTTTCATATTATTTCAGAAGCAACAATGGTCATGACTTCATCTAAACCTCCATGAACCATTTTAAACATAGTAATAGATGACTTTCCCCCATGCTTTCAACAAAACCTTGCATCTAATCCATCTGAAGTTGTTGGATCGGTTCAACTTCAATAAACCTTTAAAGAATTGTTAGCCATAAGGAAAAATAAAAGTGTTACATTTGAGAACATCTGGAAGCCTTGGGTTGGAGCCTGGTTCCCACACTAAAACAGATGAGATAGAGACAATACAGAGAATAAGGTTTTATATGTATTGTACTGCATAGTTCCTAGCTATTTTCTTTATATTTTCTTTTCTTCTATGGCAAATGCTTTGTGCAACAAATTGAATTTCAGATTTGATAGATTCCTTATCATTTCCTTCCTTGATGTCAGTAATTTCAAATTGGGATGGTGTATTGAATAGCTCTGGGACCCTATGTGGATTCTATTCGGTACCTATGATTGGTTTTGGATGATGTGTAGCCTGCTTCCATACAACGAGGGACCTCTGCAGGTAGATTTGGGCAATCGGTATAATAGTTGGATCAAAGGTTTGGACCATCACATCGGTATATAAAATCCAAACAGAAGGTTTTATACCTGTATCTATATCGTTTTTAAAACCTGCAATGAACTCCATAGCCAATGTTTTTCGGGAGTCTCAGCCCAACCTCATCATCAGGGCTTAAGAGACTGGCTTTTAGAGGACTTGAGCTGGAAATGAGATCAGGATAATTGTGCACCACACATCTCAATCTCCATGTCGTGTTCAAAAGTTGCTGAAGGAGAACGAAGACTTTTAGAACACAATTATTCTGATCCTATTCCAAACTTGTTTTCCCAAAAGCCATTTAGCTAAGCCCTGATAAAGGGGGGTAAGCTGAATCCCCCCAAATACAGTCAGGTCCATAAATATTGGGACATCGACACAATTCTAACATTTTTGGCTCTATACACCAAAACAATGGATTTGAAATGAAACAAACAAGATGTGCTTTAACTGCAGACTGTCAGCTCTAATTTGAGGGCATTTACATCCAAATCAGGTGAACGGTGTAGGAATTACAACAGTTTGCATATGTGCCTCCCACTTGTTAAGGGACCAAAAGTAATGGGACAGAATAATAATCATAAATCAAACTTTCACTTTTTAATACTTGGTTGCAAATCCTTTGCAGTCAATTACAGCCTGAAGTGTGGAACGCATAGACATCACCAGACGCTGGGTTTCATCCCTGGTGATGCTCTGCCAGGCCTCTACTGCAACTGTCTTCAGTTCCTGCTTGTTCTTGGGGCATTTTCCCTTAAGTTTTGTCTTCAGCAAGTGAAATGCATGCTCAATCGGATTCAGGTCAGGTGATGGACTTGGCCATTGCATAACATTCCACTTCTTTGGTGTCTTTTGCAGTATGCTTTGGGTCATTGTCCATCTGCACTGTGAAGCGTCCAATGAGTTGTGAAGCATTTGGCTGAATATGAGCAGATAATATTGCCCGAAACACTTCAGAATTCATCCTGCTTCTTTTGTCAGCAGTCACATCATCAATAAATACAAGAGAAGCAGTTCCATTGGCAGCCATACATGCCCACGCCATGACACTACCACCACCATGCTTCACTGATGAGGTGGTATGCGACGGATCATGAGCAGTTCCTTTTCTTCTCCATACTCTTCTCTTCCCATCACTCTGGTACAAGTTGATCTCAGTCTCATCTGTCCATAGGATGTTGTTCCAGAACTGTGAAGGCTTTTTTAGATGTCGTTTGGCAAACTCTAATCTGGCCTTCCTGTTTTTGAGGCTCACCAATGGTTTCCATCTTGTGGTGAACCC